AAGAACAGCAGCAGCAGCAGCAGCAGCAGCAGCAGCAGCAACAACAACAGCAACAGCAGCAGCAACAGCAACAACAATAGGATGCTCCTGCTGCTGCTGCTGTAAGAAGCCTACCGGCATATCAATGGATGTGCGTCTGGACCGTTCCGGAGGGCTGAACTGCGTTGGGGGGCAGTTGGACGGGAAGGGCGCGGGTGAGGGAAAGGGGCAGGGCGGGGCGGGGGGCGGCGGGGGGGTTGGGAATGCGTGAGGTGTTCATTTGCCGGGTTGACATGCACGGACATGTCGGTTGGGTGGGGCCGTGGTGACCGTGAAGGTTGGGAGAGGAACGAATGAGACGAACAAGACGAAAGGGACAGGAATGTGTATGTGTGTGTTTGTGTGTGGAGAGAGAACACAATAGCACATCATAGTCCCCCTGTGTTGTCGTGGTTGTGGGAAGTGGGGGGAGAGAGAGAACATGTGTGGCACGATATGGATTTGGCAGGAGCACCGCCGAAGAGCAGCTTGAGTTGTTGATAGATTCTGTTGACGACACAAAGCATCTCTATCGCGGCGGCGCAAGACAGTAGACAACGCAACACACGCCTCCTGCGGCTGTTGTTGTTAAGAGGCACTGAGGTGCAGTTGTTAACCTGGCTTGGCTCCTGTTTGGCTCCATCCAGGAAAGGTTTTCCTCGCTCGCACACTCCATTTGTAGGGGGAAAAGATTCTACAGGCTGAGATTTTGAATTCTAGTGCAGAATCTAGCGGACATGGTTAGGGTGCAGGTTGCAGGTTACATGCGATTGCTGAAGAAGTTTGAAGCTGTAAAAAGCCCTTTGGCGGTTTGTCTGCAACCCGTTCAACGGGTGTTGCATACGTTGTAAGTAAGAGTAATGAAATATAATGTAACGTAATGTAAAATGTCGTCGGCGTCCTCTCGGAAGGTCATATGAGAGCGCCGAGTTGTGGGGAGGAGAGGGGAGGGGAGAGAAAGGGGGCCCGAGTTGCAAGTGTCTTCCCGTGCACTTCAGGAGGGGGTGGCGGAGGGATGGATAGGTGGAAGGATTAATGTGCGTGACGCGACTTAAAATTCGCAGTGTAATAGAATTCACTGTGTGGTGGGTTGGTTCGTTGATTGCTCGCGGCTCTCGCTCGGCGCACAACCCTCCCTTTACTCGTGGTGCTGTTTCCAACCCAGGGAAGTCGCGCAGGTTGACACACAAGAGCTAAGCACGTGACATGGAACTAACGCGTAACGGTGCTTGGCTGACAATGCTGGTGCCGATGGACTACAGCTGCTGCTGCTGCTGCTGCTGACAATGATGATGATGATGATGATGATGATGATTGTGTTGGCATTGTTGGTAATTGAGATGGTAAGATGGTGGTGCTTTCGTAGGCAGCAGCCCGACTCCATAACGTGTATGCCAAATGTCATTAAGCGCTTAAGAAGAGGACAGAAGAAAAAACAGTTGTTTCAGTTAGTTTAGCTGAGAGAGGGAGAGGCAGGGAGGGGATGAATGGGCGTCTTCGTGTCGTGCCCTTGGCTATAATGCTTGGGGGAAGGCAGAAGGCAATGTAAGTATTCGGGGCCCTTTCTAAGGCATAAAGGTTTCCGGTGATCAGAAACCGGTGAACAGAAACGTGTAATAACAATGAAGGGAATGTTTAACGGAGAATGAGCTCAGTACATCTCTCGTTTGCGGCCTTCACCCAACCGCTGATAGGACGGGGGAAGAGACGTCCGACAAAGAAGATGCGATGTACGGCAGGTATACTGGTCGGCTTTTGCCCCTAGATGACGATGATGACGGCGATGATGACCGGCTCCCCTACCCTGGGTAGTTAGGGGGGGTAAGTGTGATGTAAAAACACACCTGCGCCTCTAGACGCAACACGTCGTGCACTATGGAATGTTATACACCCTCGTTACCTTAGGACAAGCCCGGAATGTGGTGTGTTGCGTCATTAAAATATAATTCGTAGACGAGGGGAAAAGCTCCGTTGGCATCCGTTGCCCTCGTCACATAATGTGTCAGAGCTGCTACCGCTGCGGGCTGTGGCGGTGGTTGGTGGCAACGACGGCTCTTGGGAGCTGGTTTTCAGTGGGTGTTAGTCAAAACGTGTTTTTATCTGGAGCATGAGCGTGGGACGAGGCGCGAGCCCCTAGAACGATAAAACCCATCACTCCGACCCTTCCGGGGCTCTCGCTTCAAAGCAATCCCGAAAACATACAACAGAGACTTTGTGTGTCGTAAGGTGAGCACGCCCTTGACAAAGGCGCGACTTAATTACTACCTCAAAAACTGGAGGTTTTCTGAGCATAACGAAAGAAATCCAAGGTTTTCTATGTATTTGTACTCGGTTGAATGTCGTTGGTGCGTACGGCTGGACCGTACAGGGCTAGAGCAAGTCGCAGGAGTGCGACGGAAAGAGTAATTTCGCGAGTTCATATTGTCAGTACTGACAGTTTTCCGCCTCGGCTTCTGCCCATGGCTTTCTTGTTTGGATTAGAACTTGTTGCAATCGCAATGCTGGGCGGTATCTGCATGATGACCGCAAACAACTGAAAATTAGCTGCGAACAGATATAGATGCGCTCACCGCGCAGCTGTCCGCTTTAGAGGAATCGGAGACGGTCAAACAGGCGTTGACCATGGTCGCCTACAACCCGCTTGCGCGAAAGGACAAGAAAAAGCTCACAGGAGCCGTTAGTCAAGCGTATGATATTTACTTGTCGACGTGGCAGCAGCTGGCGGCCGCCGAAGCAGCCCTCACCAATGTGAAGTGAGCATTGGAACCACCCGCCAAGATCCTGGCCACCGATAAGGCCGGCCGCATTAACGAGCGCCCATTTAAGGACCTGGACTTTGTGGGCCACGGCTGGATCGGCAAGGAGCAGAAGGCCCTAAGGCGCGAGAATCAGGAACTCAACTAGGTCTTCCAAGCCTTCCAGAAAGTAAACCGCCAACTTGGGGACGAACGCGACGCGCGACGAGACGACACCCTACCCGAACAGCTGGAGGAGCTGGAAAAGGCCACGAACGACGCGCCTGCTGAGGGTGAGAAGCTGTGCGTGGAGCTTAAAAAGCACCTGCGTAAGGCAATGCCAGTGGGCTGGGATGTTGTGACACCGCGGAAGAGAGCCAGTTGTTACTAGCGGTTAGCAAACGGGTCGAAGCGGAGAAGGCGATGGTAGGAAAATCGGGCAAGTCGTTTGCAGCCAAGCAGCATAATGGGGGAGGTCGGTCGCGTTTTGCAGGCCCCAGCCTCCTGCCCATCCCGCAGCCGAGTTTCGGTACGGGCTCAGGCGGGCGCAGGTCCGATGTGTGCCTGGCTCGCCCCCTCCCAAGGAAGCAAGCACAACTCTCCTGCCTGCAGGTAACCCTCCGTCTGTACGACCCCTAAGCGGTAAGGGAACTACTCAATAAAGCAATCATTGCTTTCTGACTAATAACAATCCACGCCGTACAGTACGTCTTCCAATGCAGCGAAGTTTCAGGTTCCGGGCCGTCTTTTAAGGAGTCCTCTGCGCAGAAGAGCTCTAACGCCCTCGACCAGTGTCAAGCAGTGGCCTAATTCGCTCCTATGTTCTCTCAGTACCGCCGCTGGCACTACTACTGGTCCGAGCCTCCCCTGGTGCCCTGTAACCCTCCCGAGTTATGAAAAGGAAACTTGGAAATGAAGAGAGCTCACTTGTGCGAATTAGCTCGGAATTCTCAACCAGCCAATCAGCGTCAGCACCTCCTGTGTAAGACAATTGAACTCCCTTGAAACTTTTTGACTCCCACGAGTGTTTTGTTTTTGGGCGGGGCCCCAGCGCGAAGCGCCCAGGGGGGCCCCGACCTGTAGGATTGCCCATGTCCGTGTGTGTGTGTGTGTGTGTGTGTCTGTAACGGACCAAACATAATATCTCGCCCGGCTGAAACGCGTTATAGGTACTATACAGCATCCTCTATTGCAAGGTATTTCGCATGTAGCCAACAAAAATTGTAAGAGCGCAAACAAGTTTGGCTGCCTCAATTGACCGAGGCCAAAGTCACATCAACGCCTCTCGCGCTAAATTTCATCCCGAAAGGTACCGCGTATCTCATATTTGAATTCTTAGATGACGGCGTATGATAACTCGAACTCCCAGGCCTTGAGTGTGTAACGGACCAAACATAATATTTCACCCGGCTGAAACGCGTTATCGGTACTATACAGCATTCTCTATTGCAAGGTATCTCGCATGTAGCTAACAAAGACCGTATGAGCACAAACAAGTTTAGCTGCCTCCATTCACCGACCTCAAAAGTCACATCAACGCCTCTCGCGCTAAATTTCATCCCGAAAGCTGCCGCGTATCTCATAATGGAATTCTGAGATGACGGCGTATGATAACTCGAACACCCAGCTTGTGTTACCATTTGCCGGCATGGGCAATCCGACTTGCCACCAGCAGGCCAACATAATTTGCTTTCATTTCTCTATGAAATACACAAGCTGCTTGTTTGTACATTTACTTTGGCCAATGCACGGGGCCTCCGGAGACTTGCGGTGTGCCCCGATGAAGCCCGCGGCTGTGGGGCGGATTGCTGAGGCCGCTGGCGCTTCGGGGATAAACATCACAGACAGCACCGAAATTCACCCAGCTTTCGTTACCATTTGCCCGCACGGGCATTCCGACTTGCGGTCTGCCGCACTGTCCATGCGGCATGCACCCGGGATGGATGCGATTCGCGTGGAGCCCGCAGGCGGTGCTGACGATTCCGCCGGTGCAAGCTTAGCTCTCACACCAACAAAGCAACAAAGCACATCTCCCACTGCGTTGACACTACCCATCAATTGTCACACTTGCCACCCTTGCTACCGGCCTGTACGGATGCAGAGGGGCCCCGCCCTTTTTCCGGCTTCCTTGAAGCCGACACCCAATCTTGTTTCATACATATGGTCATCCACTGCGCACATTCCATGTGCACCTTCAAATATGAGTTTCGAAATGAACGAGTAATTCCTGTTCCTCGACGGCGCTCACATCTCTTCTCCCAGCCGCAGTCCAGGCCATCAGCAGCGAGAGAGGAAACACAGCGCAGTCAAAGGCACATGTCAGCAATAAGGTTGTCCCCAAATCCATGGGCTTACGAGTTTAGGATAGTGCGCCACGAAGGCAAGGTTAACTGATAACCGATATCATGATGGGGCGCCACACACAGCACAAATCCATGAGGCCCGAATGTCTATGAAGACACACTACGTCTACACACACGTGCAGCTAGCAAATGCTGACCGTCATAAAGTCGAGCAAAGCTGCAGCACAAAACCCGCTCGCTTCCAGTGCATCTTCCAAGTTCTGGCACATTCCACTACACACATAGTTTGCTTGCCGTCTGACGGGTACCCGTCTGGCTGGACATCTAGACGCGCATGCTTCCAACCACTCACCAATCGGTCCTTGAACTCCAATACCACACCTTCTGGCAATGGCCTGTTCATCATCCATTCCACTCGTTCGTCTACCTCGTGTAGCCCTTGCGGGGCCTGTTTCCATACGTCGTGCCCCAGAAAACATAGAAAGCGGAGGAGTAGTGTCCTCCATCCGGGCCCTTCGGGATTGAAGAGGGACTCCGCGACCTCCTGTCGCAAAACTTGGTGTGCCATAGTGCGCATAGATACATAGAACCATCCATACATAGATACACACGTACATAGATGCATACATACATACACACATGCATACATAGCCGTGCTGTGTTTCGGCCCTGGGCCCCCGGCTTTTAAGCACACAATGTAATTAACATCATACATAGATACACACATACTAGCGAGCTGACCAGGCATGTAGTCGATCCGGCAGATTCCTTTGGATGCCGGTGGTGGGTGCGGAACCTGAGCGATCCACTGGGAAGTTGACTAGGGTGACTTGATGTGGGTGCCCCGAAATATCGGGAAAGGCAGGGCCTGCCGGGTAGCGGCCGCAGGGTGAAGATATGACCCCCCTGTCCCACACATCATACATACATACACAGATACCTACCTACATACATATATTTAGGGGCCGACATCGCAAACCATGAGTAAAACCCGGAGTGGATTGGGCCGTTCAGGAGGCTGACGACAATCCAACAGCCTGACGCATTTCCTGTTTGTTTGTTCGTTGCTTGTTTGTTTCTCTCTGTCTGTCTGTCTGCCTGCCTAGTTTACATCTTTCTGATTGTCCATCTTTCAGTCTGTCCGTCTAAGTCCGTCCTCCCTGGACAGGCCATATCTATCAGCCCCGCATCCTCCACCAAACCGCTACGATCTGACCCAACAAGGCACCACTCACGCACCCCATGCGCGAATACGAACATGGATGCCCATCCTGACCCCACAAATGAACGAAAACCTTCGTCGGTCGGTCCTGCGCGCGCTCCGCCTAAACCCCCATCTCCCACTCTTACACCCTACATCCCTGCCCTTTCCCTCGGGGGCCGGCCCCGCGCCCCGCGATATGCAACACCCCCAAACTCCCTTGCATCCTAAGACCACGGGCCCCTGTTGTCGCTGTGCACTATTGTCTGCCATTGCTACTGCGGCATGTTGCGGGCCTGCCTCTTCTTCTTGTCCTCTTCTTCCTCTTCGGCGGCGGCGAACCTTATCACTCCTTCCGCTGGCCAGCTCGCTTGCTCTTCTCTGGCTGCCTCGGGCGCGCACCGCCACTGCTGCCGCCGCCGTCGTCACCGGCGGCGGCAGCACAACCGTTGTCCTGCCTCTCCAGCGACGCGACCTTCAGCATCGCCTCCGCCAGCCCTAGTGCCGCCTCCACGTGATCCCTCGACCACTCGACCTCCAGCTGTACGGCATGTACGACACCACCCCAGCTGCTGGCTGATAACGCGCCATCGCCGATGCTGCCGCCGGCGCCACCACTGATCAGGTTCGCTGCCGCCGCGGTCCCACCGGTACCGCTGCCGGTCTTCAGGTCGATTGGCATTTGGATCATGCGCGATGCGCATGTACGACAAACGTAGCGGCCGTCCTGCCGTACGCAGCCGATGGGCTTAACCTTCGAAGTACAAACGAGGCAGGGCGTCGTGGTGTTGGGTTGTGGCGATGGTGGCGGCGGCAGTGGCGGTGTTGCCAGCGGCCCGGGGCCGCGGAGCCCATCCCAAGAAGTCTTCAATGCCGCCGCCGCCGCCGCTGCTGCCATTGCGGCCTCCGCGGCCTCCGCTAGAGCACAGCCGGCAGCGGAAGTGGGCTCCGGCAGGAAACACGGCAGCGGCTGTGGCAGTAGCTGCAACAAATCCTCCGACGGCGGCGGCGGCGGAATCATGAGCTCCCCGACAGGCGCTGGCGGCCGCTGCGCCAGCTGCTGACGTTTCCGGCGCCTCTCACGCCGCTCTAAGCGTCGCCGCCGCCGCCGCAGCTTCTCCAGCTTTTCCAAGTGCGCCTTCTGGCGTGTCTCCCGTCGCGTCTTCATCCGCCGTAGAGCATCACGAGTCAACTTGCCGCCGCCTCCAAGGCTGCCGCCATTGTCATGGCTGCTGCCGCTGTCGTCGCCGCCATGGACGCCACCGTCGCCATCATGGCCTTCACTATCGCCGTCATCAGCGCCGTTGGCGGCGTAGTCGGCATGTTGCTGTTGTGGCGGCGATACCGGTGGCGGCGGGACGGCGGTCACCGCGTACAGCCACAACCACCCTCGGAGTGACGGCACGATGTACGGCCGTGACGGCTCCGTTTCCAGCTCCTGCGCAAGCTCTTGCTCTTGCTGCTGCTGTATCGCCGCCGCGGGTGCTTCTGACGCCGCCGCCGCCGCCGCCACTGCTGCTGCTGCTGCCCCGTTCTGGCCGCTGTCAGGATTGCCGCCAGGCCCAGCCACCGCAAGGTCCGCTTTGACCTTCCGCCTTTCCTCCACCCTCCAGCTGTAGCACGCGTTACATAAGTATGAGCCGGGAGAAGCAGCCGCAGCAGGGAACCACTTACAGGTTTGACTCATCCCGCAGCGCCCACACGCCCTCTCGGCAGTAGCCGTCGCAGCCGCAGCCGACGTCGGCGGTGCCCACAACGGTTGCGGCGGCGGCGGCGGCAGCAATGGCTGCTCCTTGAATTGCTGCGTTGCTGACGCCATTAGCAGCTGCGGTTGCGGGGCCGTACGCGGTCGCCTCGGCACAAGCGGGGCCAGCGGCGACGGCGGAGCAGGCGCAGGCTTCGGAGCCTTCCTCAGGTTCCGTGCTGTAGACGCCATCGCCGCCGCCGCCTGCAGCGGCCGCGGAATTGGCAGCGGCGCCGGCAGCGGAGGCTGCGACGGTGATGGCTCTGTCCGCGGCGGCGGGCCCGCTGCCTCCCCTAACCGCAATCTCTTAGCGACGCAACCCCCGTCCTCCACCGTCCTTGGCAATAAGGCAACACCTCGTACATGGACACCAGCATCCACTCGCGTTGTGCTGTCACCGCCCAACGAGGCGCCCGCAGTGAAAGCGGCGGGAGCGGCCCCGGCGTCGGCGGCAGCAGTGGCGGCGGCAGTGGCGGCGGCGGCCATCTCTGTGACCTTCTGCCCGCCGCCGTCATGATCAACGGTTTCATCTTCCTCTGTCGGGACCCGTCGCCGTTTCCGCCGCCTCGTACTGGATCTCACGCTTGGCCGCGGCTCCGCCGTACGGTCGGCTGAAATGACGGCCTGGGCTGAGGCCGCGACATCGAAGATGGCTGTCGAGGCAGTCGTAACGGCAGCCACACGGTTTATTAACTGATGGACCGCTGCGTGGACACCTCCAGGCGCTGTGGCCTCACCCAGTTTCACGGTGGCCGCCGCTGCAGTCGCCATCACCGTCGCCGCATCCGTCGCCGCTGCGTCTACTGGTGCATCGACATTTGCGACTGTACGAAGAACAGCCGCCGCCGCCGCGACAGCGGCTGAGGTTGACGCCGGGGCTCCCACAAAGCGAGGAGACCTGCGGGCATGCCGCTGGCCGCCAGTGCCGGCGGTGGCTCCGCCGCAACGGCCCGCTGCGTCATCAGCGGTACGGCTGCCGCCGCCAGTAGTGCTATTATCGCTGCGGTTGCCGCCGCCGCTCACCCCGTCGTTACCCGTACCACCGCCCGCGTCCACATGTGTACTGCCGCCGCTACCGCTGCCGCCGATGTCCCTGCCGTCGCCGCCGCCGTCGCCACTGACTCCGCTCCCGTTGCCGCAGCCGCCGGCTGCAGTGCCGCAGCTACCCGTACCGGCACCTGCGCGCAGACCCTCAACGCAGCCTGCATTCTTTCGTCCGCCTTTTCCAGCTCCGTTAACACGCATACTAGGTCTTGAAAGCCGTGCAGCGCCGCCGCCGCCATCTTCGCCGCCACCAGCGGCCCTGGCCGTAGCGCCGTCATCACATCCGCCGCCGCTGCCGCTGCCGGCGTCCCTGCCAGTGCCAGCCGCGGCGCTGAATTCGCCGCGGGCGATGTGCCTCTCAGATCGGGCGTGGGCTGCTTGGACGGTCCGGGACGTTGCTAACGCCGTGGCTGCAGCAGCGCCGCTAGAAGCTGGCGCTAGCACAAGCCGCTGCCTCCGCAGAATTGAGGACTTGGCGTTGGCGTTGGCAGATGGCCGACCAGCAGCCTGGGGAAAAGCCCAGCGCGTTTGCGACTGACCGACGGCGGAAGCCTGTGCGCCTGCAGCGTCCGTGGCCTGGCCAACACATCGCGTAAGTGGATTTGGCGATAGCGATGCACGACCGGACGTTGTCGAGGGAAATATGGGCGCTGGCAGGCGAATCCCAAGGGGCGGCTGTACTTCGCGTGGCGCAAGGCCGTGATCAAACCTGCACGGACGTCGCTGTTGGACGGTCGGCCCATCCGATGTGCGCTGAGTTCCTGTCATGCTGTACCTTTGGAACTGGTGTGGCTAGAAGTCGCAGCGTTGAACGCAGTTCCTAAAATGAAACTTTACAGCAGCAGTCAGGAGCAACCACGACGCACAGAGCGACCGTCCAACCTTGTGGAATTATTTCACTAAAAAAATTATGACGCTCTATACGAGAGTGTTTATGCTCCATGCTGAGGATGATGCGTCCGTTCGTTTCAAGAAGCAAAACTCTGACGATAACGACTTTCTAAATTGCTTTGTTATTGCAACATGTTTGTCTACTTTGACAACGAAATATAGAGCTGTTTCTCGTGTGAAATCATGTAGGATTGGACCAAGGGTACTCGACATGATGTCACCCTTTACAGGAATTTAGCATGACGACCTGCGTCAAGGTCATTCATATAGTTAAGTTACTTATTTTAAAAATTTATAAGCTTTTATCAGCAGAGAACGTTGCGCGCATAGCGACCCACAGGGTCTGAACGGACCCTTGGACGAATCCGATCGTGGGCAAGAGTGTAACAATCGCACTGTAACAATCGCATCTCCAAGAGTGGCTCGAGTCGCTCAATGTCACCAAACAGCTCGTAGGCATTTACCCAGCGAGGGACGAACTTGTCGATCAGCTCCATGTACAGGCAGAGTTCAGCAAGGGGGCAGCGCCTAAGGTCCTCTTAGTGAGGGCTAGGTGGGCTCAATCTCAGGATCAAGCGAGTTTATAAATATAAACAATAATAGTGCTATTATCATAAGAAATGATTTTGATATTGACTATGCCAAATGATTTGGTATCGACGGCAAAGTGCGAGGCAAGAAACGTAGGACAACCATTCGTGACAAAGACTTATATAATCCAACAATTTGGCCACGCCGAACTTACAGTTGATACATAAGTATTTAGTAGTGCATATTAATGGCTTAACGGATTCAATGCGATAGGTTAGGTTGAACCTGACAGTCTATCCGACGCGCCTTGACGACTTGTTTTTGCAAGCGTTTTTCGCCGGCCTGCAAAAAAAGAAATAATCGAGTGGAGGACATGTATAATTTGGCGAGGTGCTCATAGCAATTTGCATCTTCTCCTGGCTCATGCTTTGCCGACATACGCAGGATCGCGCAGTCGAGCACCAATCCAACACGAGGTTCCGGGCCCTTCAGCGGCTGGGGGGGGGGAGGTGCCTGAGCCTAGAAGCCTAACCTTCACAGGGTGCCCACTGCCTGCCCACCTTGCCCTGAACCTCCCTAGAAATGGGCTTCCACGCGCAGAGCGGTTATTCTACCCGGAAAGATTTCCAGTACAATAAGCGGCGGTGTTTGCGGTGCTCGCAAATAGACAGCGAGGTTGCGAATGGAACGTAATTCGACCTACGTTTTCAGAAGTACTGGTTACGGTACTGGTTACGGTGAAGGTGGTTGCTAAGGTTGTATGGGTCCAAGGTGAGATGACGTTTGTTTTGGCGAGAGGGGAATTGCAGGGAGTGTCGTTTTAATAGAGCGGTTTAGGGTGCTTGACAGAGATATGGGGCGCTTTAGTTTTTGGCCAATTTCAGGCCAACCTAGTCCTCATTTGGAGACAGTCGGCGTGTAGGCGCACCGCTTCTCCCACCGGAGACACACCATGATTTCCCCCACCCGGTCCCAGTGCGCCTATTCCTCCTCACTGTCGCTCTCAAATTGCTGCCTTTCGTCCCGCCGAATGTGACAGGTAGGATGAAGGTACCGCCATATGGTGCACAGGGACTTCATCTGTGCCTTCTCCAGCAGCTGGCTGAGGGGCACACCCTGCTGAAAGGCATATTGTAAAGAGCCACGACGAAAACTGTGACTGGTCTCTCCGCCATCCTGACCAGAGGCACTTAGATGGCGCTTGAGACGAGACTCCAAAGCCTCGGTTGTGAGGGGTGCCTCCTTGAAACGGTGTCCATTGGTGTCCAAGGGCCGGAAGAGGTAGTGGGGCAGGGGGATGTTCAAACAGGCAGAGAGGTACAGAGAGGGGGTACTGAGGCGGCAGGCCGCGGCATCGATGGACCTCTCCAATAGTTGACCAGATGCACGGACTCCACGGTAGGTTTTCGTGACCAGCTTTGCAATCTGGATCCGGCAGGTTGCAGGAATTCGGCCATCAGCACCAGGCAGAAGGAGTAGGAAGCCCTGGAAAGGAGTTTGGCTATGATCATGATCATGAAGATCCTACACTTGAAGCTCCCCACAGTCGTGGCCGCACATGCAGGTGCAGCAGAGCAGATCCCGGAAAATGTTTTAGTTTATACCTAAAAAGATGCAGAACATACTTCAGTCATGCAGCAGGGTCATGCGGGGAATGGGAGCCGGGGTGTTGACAGCAGTCCGTCACGAATAGCCACTCAGCACCAGGAATATTATTGTGCACTAAGAAGCACGGCACCCCGCTCAGCATGGCCCCACCGGGGGAGATAACCTTTGTTGTAACCATGGACCAGTAGACTCTCACAAGGATTGACGCAATATGTGACCGCATTGTAAGGACTCCCTCGGTTCAGCAGGTTGAAGGCGGTAGAGAGGTTGGAGATGGCCCCATGCAGAGTGGTAGGGCAGCGCAGACGATCCAGACGGGCCCTTCCTGCGTGAGCACCTTTCCAATGCTCCTCGAAGAAAGTCAGAAGAGACTCCGGGTCACAGTTTAGCAGGTTCATCAAAGGGTGGTGTCGCATCAGCCAGGTATGCAACTCGCCGGATGAGCTCCGAATCTTTTGCCAGCTGTCAGAAGCCCATTGCTGGCATTTGGTACACTAAGCTGTTGAAAGCGCGGGGCTGGGCATTGGGGGAATTCCAGGCCGACCCTGGAGTGAATGAAGAAAGGCGGATAGAGAGGAGGGTGCGGAGCCGGATGCCTCGACTCAGTGAGACACCGCGCTAGCAACCTGTAGAGACAGTGTAAGTCTCGCCGGCTGGAGAGATCCAGGACACCCATCAATAATCCGGACGCACCTCGGAAGCTCCTGCGAGACCTTGCCTAGCTGGGGCGGTCCAGACAAGTCGCACTAGAGGGCCATCGCCGAACCCCGCGGATGACTGGGAATTGCGCAGCATGGTGGGCAAATCGATTTGATTTTTCGTTTTTGGTTAGCCCACCCGCCCACCCAGTGCTCTTTCAGCCAACCATAATTCCATCGATTTGCAAATTTTGGAACCGTTAAACTACCGGTACTTTACACTGTGCTCGGCCCTTTGTCATCGGCGAAGCAGGCGGCACAGGAAGTGTAGCAGTGGAACCTACTCTAGATGCTGCCTTCGTTGCTGGCGTTCGTTGCTGGCGTTCGTGGCTGTTTTGGTTGTGTACGGTGGACGAGCGCTTGGGCTTCGTAATTTGGCAGATTGCCTCACTGATGAACGTGGAAAGGAGAGTGAGTCTGATGTTACGGAACGCTAGGGAGAGGTGATATTGATGTTGCAAGTTAAAACCCTGACAACGAGCAAACCGTAAAGGCATAGCTGCTGTGAGAGAATCAATGTGAGGACCTTAGCATGGGCTCGTGTCACATTTGATAGCTGTGCTAATATTTCGCTGACTATGCCTTGACAGTCGCGCACCAGGAAAAGGCCGGACGTGATTCGGGCACTTTCGCATAGACACCGTAGAGTTGGTTGTATCAGTGCATGTTGATTAAGTGCTCGTCCTGTAGTGCAGTACGGCAAGTGCGGCGCAGGAAGGCGCAGACCAGAACTGGCCAGAGGACAGGGACTGATACTGTAGTTCGTTACAAAGATTAGCTGAGAACAAAGCGCTAAATCCAGACAACGCAAGTTCGCCAGTCAACCGTGCAAGCAAGTGCAAGTCAGAACGTCGTTTGTTGGGGAATAGGGACGTCAAAAATAACAATATACAATACATATGGACCCAGTTTAATAAGGAAGGAAATCAGAGAACACAGCGTTACTGGCACATCGGGCGTCAGTAACAGCGAAGAGATGGCTGAGCGGGATGAAGTGCGCAGCTGAGTCGGAGAAGGTCCGGAGGAGAACGAAGTAATGGCTATGACGAAGGCGATAAGAATGGCACGCGACGGAAACACCCAGAAGGGGATGTTGCTGAGTGGCCTTGGGCCGAAGGCTTAGATGCGTTTAGCTGGAAGGCCAGCACCAGGACTGGGTTGCCTTAGGCCAGTAGCATAGGAAGAGTTTATCCGGAAGGCCAGCCCCAGGGGGTATGCTCTCGCGCGGCGAAGCACCCAGGCTGAGTTGCCTTGGGCCGGTAGACTGGGTCGCGTTTGTCCGGAAGGCCAGCCCCAGCGGGTATGCTCTCGCGCGGCGAAGCACCCAGGCTGAGTTGCCTTGGGCCGGTAGACTGGGTCGCGTTTGTCCGGAAGGCCAGCCCCTGCGGGTATGCTCTCGCGCGGCGAAGCACCCAGGCTGAGTTGCCTTGGGCCGGTAGACTGGGTTGCGTTTGTCCGGAAGGCCAGCCCCTGCGGGTATGCTCTCGCGCGGCGAAGCACCCAGGCTGAGTTGCCTTGGGCCGGTAGACTGGGTCGCGTTTATCCGGAAGGCCAGCCCCTGCGGGTATGCTCTCGCGCGGCGAAGCACCCAGGCTGAGTTGCCTTGGGCCGGTAGACTGGGTCGCGTTTGTCCGGAAGGCCAGCCCCAGCGGGTATGCTCTCGCGCGGCGAAGCACCCAGGCTGAGTTGCCTTGGGCCGGTAGACTGGGTCGCGTTTGTCCGGAAGGCCAGCCCCTGCGGGTATGCTCTCGCGCGGCGAAGCACCCAGGCTGAGTTGCCTTGGGCCGGTAGACTGGGTTGCGTTTGTCCGGAAGGCCAGCCCCTGCGGGTATGCTCTCGCGCGGCGAAGCACCCAGGCTGAGTTGCCTTGGGCCGGTAGACTGGGTCGCGTTTATCCGGAAGGCCAGCCCCTGCGGGTATGCTCTCGCGCGGCGAAGCACCCAGGCTGAGTTGCCTTGGGCCGGTAGACTGGGTCGCGTTTGTCCGGAAGGCCAGCCCCTGCGGGTATGCTCTCGCGCGGCGAAGCACCCAGGCTGAGTTGCCTTGGGCCGGTAGACTGGGTCGCGTTTGTCCGGAAGGCCAGCCCCTGCGGGTATGCTCTCGCGCGGCGAAGCACCCAGGCTGAGTTGCCTTGGGCCGGTAGACTGGGTCGCGTTTGTCCGGAAGGCCAGCCCCAGCGGGTATGCTCTCGCGCGGCGAAGCACCCAGGCTGAGTTGCCTTGGGCCGGTAGACTGGGTCGCGTTTATCCGGAAGGCCAGCCCCTGCGGGTATGCTCTCGCGCGGCGAAGC